GAACCGCGGTCCCTGATGCCTTTGCTAAGCTTGTTCCAAGTAGGTGCTTCAGACCACTGAGCCATCCCTCCAGCCCAGAAAGATAATTCTTAATGATAGATATGCATACTCAGTGCAGCCATTCCATGAACAATTGCCTCAGACCTAAGCTTTTACATTGGCCCTCCACAGGACAAATGATCTGGCCTTGTTTGCATTCTGTTCCTTGCACAAAGGGGCTGGGAATGGGCCACCAGTAGTGGCTTAATCAGATCTGTTTGCACACAGCCAAAGAGCCAATCTGCCTTTCATGGGCTTGTGCCTATGGGCTTGGGCTTGTGCCCCTTCAGCGCCTTCTTCTCCTGCATGATACAGGTTCTGTTCAGCATCTTGTTCCAGAACAGGCCTGTTTCATTGCAGTTGAACACTTGTTGAATTGGTGTAGCCTTCTGATTTCATGAACTGAGTGAATTCTTTATCTCTTCTGCAGTGGCCTTTAGGAATGGGAAGCCTTATCATGTCTTACCACCCAGTGGTTGGCACTTCTCTTGGGGAATTTATCAAGCCACCCTCTACTGGCTTTAAGTTAATCACTTGTTGCATGTGCAGAGGGCTTTTCTTGCAGCAAATCACTGTGTGGTTTCCTGGCTTTCCACAGACCATAGCTTCGCTAACGCTATCACCTGCTGACTATTTGTCGTTCAGCCACACTAACAACAGCTTGTCCACCTCTTCCAGCACTGAGTTCTCTGCTTGGTTAACATCATCACTCCTGCTGCAGTGTCAGCTCCTTTGATGGCATCTTTATTTTCCAAAATAGCTGAGGTTGTTAACTTAGCCATCTTGTACTCTGAGGCCAGATCAGCCACATCAATCCCATCCTCATGATTTTCTACAGCTTCCTTCTTCAACTCAACAGTTACGTTCTTCAAAACCTTCTTACATTCATGCTGTGCACTTTCTTGTTATCTTCATCACCACTCTATGCATTCTGTTCACCTTTGTTATCACTCCACATATTTTTGCCACCTTCATTACCATTCTACACTTTCTTTTCACACCACACTAGCTCTGCACTTTCTTTGGAGCCATGCTGGACTGAATAATACTGTACAGTGTTCTGTGTGCTTAAAACATACAGAACAGCTTCATAGCAAGTGTCTGCAACCTCAATCTCAACTAGAGGAAGCCACAACCACACATCACAGTGGGAAAGATGGCCGTGTTCATGTTTGTATAGAGCAGAGAAGGTGGCTACGGTGGAGTTCATCACTCAATACTGAGTGCAGATGGAAGCAAAATGTTGTTGAATGCTTCTTTTCAGGAATCAAATTGCTTGTGAACAGAACTGTTCATGAATTAAGGTATTACTGTACTTAAAGTTAACTTTAGATTTCTTAAAGTACCTCATCTAATGCCTATGTATCACTTTACTCACATGGATTTAGCATAGTACTCAGCATCTGGTAAGTTCAAGTATTGCTTTTCAGAAATTTCTGGAATTTTTTTCTAACTTTTTCATTGAATCCATTGATATAGCAATGTTAGATATGGAAAGGTGACTGTATTTTTATAATTATTGGTCTGGTTGTCAATGTCCTATAATATCAATCGACCTTAAATTTATCCTAAGCTTACTTCTCGCACATGAAGCAGCACCTGGTACATAGTAGGAACCCCAATATTTGTTTTATGAATGAATAAAATGTTGATCTGTTTTCTAGTGCTGCTCCTGAGTGTTGCTGGTCTTACTCTTCTCCTAGCTAGGAGTCTTCTTCTCTGGGGACTTATTGTTATGCAAATGAGACAGGGAGCAGAAGGTTGTAACTGTTCAGGAATAGGCTTGGTGGCCTCCCGCAGCCTGGAGAAAGCCTCTGCTTTCAGTCTTCTCTCAGATGCTGACCAGGAGTCTGCAGGGCAAGGAGACAGGAGCGATGAGTGTAATGGGCACTTACTTCTTCTTCTAGGAGTTTCACCATCTCTGAGAAAGCAGGCCCCAATCACTAACCCTCAACCCACTCTGCCCAGTTCTTATGTGGACCAGCCTTCTGGGATCAGGAGTTATTCAGAGAAAGCCATTCTTTTAGTTACCTGAATATCACTTTCAAATGGTACAATTCCATTCTGGAGTATTCAGCATTGCCATGGCATTGTGACTGCTTTCTCTCCCTCTTCCCTGTCCCACCTTGCCGTACCCCAGGAGATAAGCCATCAGCCTTAAGTGGCAGGCTCTGCAGTCCTCTGAGAAGCCATAAGATGAGCGCTGCTTCCTGGCAAGGCGCTCATTTGTTTACACTCTCTAGGGAGGAAAATTGTAGCTAGGAGCTGTGGAGCCAGGGTTCTCCAGAAATCAGAGGCTTTCCCCAGGCTGCGGGAGGCCACCAAGCCTATGCCTGAACAGTTACAACCCTCTGCTCCCTGTCTCATTTGCATTACACTAAAGTCCCCAGACTTAGGCCTGGTAGTTTCCAAATGGACCCTTCCGAGAAACTAATTTTTTATGAAAGGTCAAAGCACCACAGACGGCAGAACACTCCCAAGGGGGTGTTACTTCATGTTGTTTCAAACTCTAGATTTAAATTTAGTCATGGTTTTCCTTAGAGGTTATTGCCATGGGCATTAGGGATGGAAATTTTTAAAGGCATCACTAGGGTAAACAGAAAGGGTGAAAGCATCTAGAAGTAACACATCTTCTGATAAAGGTTAGTAAGTAATAGCTGAGTGTCTGTAATAGACTGTGCTCTGGACCACACAGCTCATGGATGTGGCTTGCATGGTCCAATATGCGACCAGGGTGGTCTATACTCTACAGGAGAGGGAACAGCAGCCATCATTCTCTGAGGCCACTGTTACTGGAGCTGGTGGCAGCAAGACACAGGGATGCCCCTAGATACTCCTGGGCCTTGACTGCCTTCTGCTGCACATTCAGTTTTGCTCCCTGAGGTGTAGCAGCAGACCCAGGAGACAGAAGGGCCCGGGATTTTTCCCTTTTGAAATCCAACTCAGTTTTCCACAATCTATTTCCTTGCTCAGACCTTTCTTCTCTCATAGTGGATAAAGCCAAATTCCAGTTATGAATCTATTATTCCAGTCAGATGTGGTGCTACATACCCTATAATCCCAGTACTCTGGGAGGCTGAGGCTCGGACAGGTTAGCAACTTATTGAGAAACTGTCTCAACAGCAGTAGCAACACAAAGGCTGAAGACATAGTTCAATGCAATTGGTCTTAGGTCAGAGACATTAGGTCAATCCACAGTACTGCAAACAAAATACAACACAAAACAAAGCAAAACAAAAACTTTATTCCACATCACCCAGTGGCCTCATCCTCAGCGGAACCTTGATATACAGTAAGAATTTCTTTTCCTTGTCAGTATTTTAAACAACCCAATATCTGTGTATATCACATTTATGTTGTATTAAGTATCATGAATAATCTAGAAATGATTTAAAGGATGCAAGAGGAGGTAGGTAGTTACATGAGATCGTGATATTTTGTATAAGGGACTTGAGCTTATGAGGATTCTTGCACACACAGGTGGGGGAGGAAAGAGGGCCCTGGAGTCAGGCCCCACTGTAGTTTGATAAGCTTTGGTCTCAAGCACGATGTCATACCCTGATTGGTCACAAAGGTGATGAGGCATGGGCAATGGCAGAGTAAGGGAAGCACTTGAAGAGAAAGGCTTTTGGAGGGCTGGTGGGCCTAACTGTACAGACCTGGCCAGCGTCCAAGCCCTTCCTTCCAGAAAGGTGTTCCTTTGAGGAAGTACTGTCTTCCAGGCACACGCCACGCGATCTGTGCAGAGCCACTGTTCTCCTAGCCACAAGGAGCCCTGGAGTGAACATATGACCCAAGTCAGCCTACCCACAATCAGCGGCAAGGTTTTGCTGAAATACTGGGAAAGAAGGCTTCTCTTTCATAGGCCTGGCCACATGGGGAGCCTGGAGCCTCTGGAGGCTGCAAGGAGAGCCGAGCTGCTGATGGAGAGAGGCGGGCGCCTTCTGTTCTCAAGCCAGCCCCCAGAAGAAGGAGTTCTATCCCTTTGGGCCAAGAGGTCAGGACTCCTCCCCACTTTCCCAGTGTTCTTAGGTTTTTTTTTTTTTCCTCACCTGCCATGACAAATGAGATTACCCAGTTGACGGATTCTCTGATAACTGTCTTCTTCTCTCAGATGCTGACCAGGAGTCTTCAGAGCAAGGAGACAGGAGTGATGAGTGTAATGGGCAGAGTGGGGTGGGCTTTGGGAGGAGCTATGGAGCTGAGCCTGCAGGAAGAGGACAGTAGCAACCGTCACAATAGGACACTGACTAGGGAGTCAGCTATAGTTTGTGTCTTAAATGTTCGCCAAGGCTCATGTGCTACATGCTTGGTGTTCAGATTGGTGTTTTTGGGAGGTAGTGGGAGCTTGCGGGGAGGGTTTAGGTCATTGTGAGACCCCAGCTCCTTTTCCACTGTCTCATTTGCTTCCTGGTCATGAGGTGAGAGATTTTGCTCCATCGTGTGCTCCCCATTGTGACATACTGCCTTGCCACAGACCCAAAAACCACAGGGCCAGCTACAAGTACCAAAACTTTGGACCAAATCGAGCTTTTCTCTTTATCAATTGATTATCTCAGGTGTTTTGTTATAGTAATAGAAAGCTGACTACTATAGTGTCCATCAACAGACAGACGAATATAGAAAGTGAGGTATTTATGCACGATGGAGCATTATTCATTCATACAAAGAATGAAATGTTGTCACTTGCAACAATGCATATAAGCTGAGAAGACAACATGTAAAGTGAAATGTCAAGCACAGAAAGACAAATATTATATAGTCTGATTTATATATCAATGGTAAAAAAAAGTTGACCAATTAAAAGTAGATAGTAGAGTAGTGGCTGTCAAAAGCTGGGAAGGGGGCTGGGGAGTTAGCTCAGTAGAATAAGCACTTGCCTGGCAAGTGCAAGGGCCTGAGTTCAATCCCTGGTTCCGAAAAAAAAAAAAAAAAAAAAAAAGAGCTGGGAAGGCACCAGGGCAGGAGGATGGAGAGAGGATGCTTTCAAAAGTACAATGGAAGAGTTGCAGAGGAGCAATGATCCTACCACTCTATAGCACAGGAGGGCAACTGTGTGACAACAATCAAATGCATGTTTCAAAATAGCTAGTAGGAAGGACTGTGAATATATTCCATGCACGGAAATGATAAATGTTCTAGGTAGCAAATATGCCAGCTACCTCGATCTGTGCATCACAGCAAAATGCTCCATTTATGCCATAAATGTGTACAATTATGTCAATTAACATATTTTTAGAAAAAGAAATTTAAAGAAAAGGGCAGTAACACCCACTCTAGGCGATTCGTGCCATGTGGGAGTAGAATCAAGTTCTTTAAGGGAAGCCAGAAATAAAGACTATGATGTGAAGTTCCCTGATCTTTAAATGTTGAAGACCAACATTTTACCTCTCAGGCAGCTGCGGGAGTGCTGCCAGCATTGCACACTTCTACTTACACTCCCCCTCAGTGTGTAGAGGCGCACCCTGCTCTACGCCACCTTTCCCAGCTGCGCCCTGGGTCACGCAGAGCTCAGGAAGCTGCTGGCCACATTGCCTGCTTCTGAGGCCCCACTAAGCCGTGAACATCCAGTGTGTGGGAGAGACCAGGTACTGCCTGGATGTGGGAGGCAGGTTTTGAGGCAGATGCCAGCATTTCACAAACATTTTGCCCTCCCTCGACCAGCTTATTTCCTCAGCAGTTCAAACCTGCTCCAGAGAGCGAGCCTTGCAGAAAGCTGATTTCAAAGCCAGTTGGCCATTTTCCAGAGAACAAGCAAGACTGCATCTCACTCATCCCAGGGAGACTGCCGATGCAGTGCTATATCTTCCTTCTTCATCACCCAACACAGTGATGCACAGTGATGGAGATCCCGAGGCATCCGTGCTCCCGCCCACAGCCTGCAGTGCTCCCCCCTGCTGCAGCGCCTGCTGGTGCTTTGGTGTCTTCCTGTGCACTTAGCACACACTGATGGTCTCCTTTGTATAGGGAAACTGGGAGGGGCAGAGGCAGGACCTACCCTCATGGAGCTCCAGAAGTCAAACTAAATAATCACAGACATAATGTTTAAGCACAAACTTTGCTGAGTGTTAGGAAAGCAAGGAATCATGTTTTAAGAGCCATAGAACAGAGTATCTGACCTAGTCTGGGAGAGGCAGGGGCTTGTCAGGGAAGCATGTTATTGCTGAGCCCCAGGGAGGAACTTTAAACAGGAAGCGCCATGATCTGATCTGACTATTCTGCAAAAGCAGATGGAGTGATGGGTATACCCTATGGGTGCAGGGAACATGTAGGAGGCTTAGACAGTGGTCCAAGAGGAGGTGGCAGCTTCTAGGAAGAAGGTAGTGCAGCAAGGATGGGTGGAGAAGTGGGCAGCTTGGGGCTATATTTAGGGGGAGCTGGTGACAGTGTGGATGCATGAGTGGGTAGGTGTCAGGGTGCTGCTTGGATCTGTGGCTTATACCCCTTATTGGCTGGCTGTGGCTGTGCTTCATGGGAATCCTGCATGGGAGGCAGCGGTGGCAGGACCTCGGTGGAGGGCTAGGGTGCATCTGAGCAGCATAGCTTAGCAATTGCATGTCCCAAATGCCCTTTCATGGGTAGCTTGCTTTATCTGGAAAGCCATACTTGTCTGCTTATTAGCCAAATGCATTAATGAGCCAAAGTCCAGGTTAAATGGCCCTTCTTCTGGAAGTCTGGCCATAGCTCTAGGAGTAGTCCACATCCCACTTTGGATGTAGTCTGGATCACACTGGACCTGAAGGAGCATCTCAATTGAGGAAGGAAGAGGTGGTAAAGCTTACAATCAGCTGAGGGTAACTTGGCATTTGTGAGCAGAAGGACGGGAAGTGGGGTGTGTGTGGGGATGTGAGCATATATCTGAGTGTGTGTGTGTGTGACTGTGAGAGTGGATGAGAGTGGACTGGAGTCTGAGCATGTGTGTCAGAGCCTGTTGACTGAGAGAGCATGAGAGTAAGAGGGGTAAGTGCAGGAGAGTGAGACTGTGTGGAAAAACATGCATGTGTGAAAGACAGTGTGCGTGGCATGTTTGCTGGAGAGAGGAGGTGAGAGCTGAGAGGCAAAGCAGGTGCGGGCCTGGGCTGCAGGTGCCTTGATGAGGAGGTGGCCCAGGTGGTTTGCGCTGAAGGCAGGGCTGGCTGGCTTTGAATAGGTTCTCTCACCTAAGGAGTCCTGTGACCCTGGGTGCACAGTGCCCCCTCTCTGAGACTAAAGTCACCCATAATGAGGTTATGACGGAATCTGTCCTCTGGGGCTAGTGTGAGGAGCAAGATGGCTTTTAAAATGCTTAGCCAGGGCCTGGCACAAAGAAGCACTCAAACTTCAGAACTGCCTGCCACCATCTCCCCAGTGCCCCTGTGCACACCTGGTAGCACTCACCGTATGCTTCCTAGTGTGCTTACAGAGTTAAAATCCCCTCCATAAATTCTAAAAGGGTTGGAGTGTGGTCTCTCTGCTGACTAGTGTCTCTCTGACACCCAGGATGAACTGGCACACAGTGGGTGCACAACAAGCATTTTTCAAATCAATGAATACATACAGAAAAGTGATCTCCCTTGCTTGCCCTTCCTACTCTCCTCTCTTCTTGTTTCCTCTTTCTCTGGCCCTATCCTACCTTTACATGCATAGAGGAAGGGCTGATGATGCTGGGCCTGGAGCTGGACTCTCAGTGCTTGTGGGGGGGGGGACAAAACTGGTCACCAGAACTTAGAAGAAAAGTAAGATGAGACCCCCTGGGACTGCATGGTCTGTTTAATGTCTACCAAATCACTGGTGCTTCTTTATTTAACTGATGGCTTCTATTGCTTTTCACATTTCTAAGCACAGTTGAAAAATGGCATTTGCCTTCTTTATTTCAATCCCCAGGCTCATTAACTTGTGTTAGTTTTAAGATTTCCTTCCTCGTTTTAAGTTTCTTATATGAAGGGTGCTCATTTATATTCTGCCACCATGGGAGAGTTTTCTGATTTGTTAATCATTGTTGAAGTTTCCACTGTTGTAGGACATCATTTTGCCCAACAAACCCTTAAAACTGTCAAAGAATTCATTCCTTCTGTGTGTCTCACTCGACAGACAAGTGGAAAACTCGGCTGCCTCTGTGAGAGCCCTAAACATCTCACTGCTGTCTGAAAGATGTGACATTCAGTCTCTGGACTAAAGCTGTTTTCCTCCCATTATGTCCAGGAGCTGAGGCTTGAGACATTAATATGGAAAACATGGCACAGCAAGCACTTCAGTGCGTTCCCTTTCTTCTTGAGGAAATTGCTCTCTTGTGGAAGAAAAATGCAGGTCCACCCACAGCGGATCATATAATAAAAATCTGTTTGCAAGAGGAAAGCTCATTTCCCCACTGAGAAGATGCATGCATTTGAGGGAGACAAGGCAGGAGAAAGGTGGGGGACAAGGGAAGGATTAAGCCATGAGGACAAGCACGGTGCTTAGAAATGAGGACAATAAAAAAAACATGAGCCCACCTAACCCTCAGATGAAACCTGGGGCAATCACTGTCCATTCCTGAGCTGAGAAGCCAGCGCAATTATTCTGCAGATCATTAGGATCCTGCAGGAAAGGGTTTCCTGGTTTTGCCTGTGATTTCCATTTTCTCATTACTGACAGAAGCTGCATTTATGGATCTTTCCTTTTCACACAGGAGCTTCTTGGGCTGGTTTTTTAAAAATTAGCCCTCCCAAAAGGCATCATGTCAAAAGCTTAGAGGGGCTCATCGCACTTCCGTGAGAACTGCCCTCCCTCCCCCTCCCCTGACTTTTTTTCTTTCCATTTTCTTTTTCTGTCCTGGAGAGGGGTTTCATGGCTGTGGGTAGGCAATTAGATTTCAAAGCCAAGAGCTCCGCTGCACTTTGCCAGGAACTGCTGGAGCGAGCAGGAGAGCCCATGGGCTTGGAATGCCTGGCACGGAAGCTTGTCTCCCAGTGCGGCTGCTCCCAGGATGGCCTAGAGGAGCATGTTTGCCTTTGTTCTGAAAGGGAAATCTAATTTCACCCCCTTAGCACTAGCTGTATGGTAATTTCAGAGCTCCGCAATGCTGTCTCTCTACAGCCTGGGAGATTGCCTCGCTTGCGAAATGTTGCGAGCTGGAATGATCTGGGAGCCGGTCAGAGCTCAGCAAGCAGGCCACTCAGGCCTGTGGCTCAGCCTCTATTTCTGGCCCCTGCTCCTTGGAGCACTGCTGCCTTTCTGAAGAATGAAGGACTCTGTGCTCACTACAGCCTTCTCACTTGCCACTGGCTGAGTCACAGGGCTCAGGGCTGACATCTGATTGCTGAAGCCACAGGGAACAGAATGTCAACATTTGTCAGGTGCCATGGATTCAATGCTGGACTAGTGGCTGCCTGGAGAGGGGTTCAGGCTTGGTAGATTATGCTGGGTGCCCCAGACAATGGAGCTTATCTTCTTTCCCTAAGGGAAGGCAAGTACTGGACTAAATGGGTGAAAAGATCTTAAGTAACGGTAGGTGAGATTGAGTGTTGTGAAAGGGGTTGGAGGGCTCCTCAGAGGAGGTGATGTTCAACCCAGGTTGAAAGGAACTGCCTGTGCAGAAGTTTTGGTGAGGAGGAGCTCGGGTGGGGAGGACTGCTGGCAGAGTGGGGAGCAAGCTTGTCACATCCTTGGAACTAGAAAGACACTTGAGGGGGCCAGAAAGACAGCTCACCAGACTAAAGTGCCTGCTTAGGCAAGCACAGTTCAACCCCTGGCACCACATGCTGTTCCAGCCCCACACCCAGGGTGAGCTGATCTGGCCACAGAGTCTGGGTGTAGTGGCCCACAGCTGTAATCCCAGTGCTGGGGAGGCTGAAAAACAGGAGAACCAGTCTTGAGTCCGAGCTGCATAAGACCCTGTAACAACCAAATACATAAAAAAGAAAGACAGAGAAAAGAGAAAGATGCTTGAGTGACTGGAACAGTGTGAGTGAGGCAGAGATGAGGTGGGGTGAAGTCAGCCCTGTAGTGGGAAGCAGGTGGGCTGAGGGGCAGAATATTGTTCAGTAGTTATAAGCAGAGGAAACACTGATCACCTGATTTGTGTTTGAAGAGGCTCTCCCTGTTCTCTAGGTGGAGAGTTGATTGGAAGAGGCACTGGGAGGAAACAGGACTGTTTGCCCGAAAGGTAGAGCTGACCTCCACATGGATGAAGATACCATTTTACCTTCCAAAGAAGAGGCACTTTCCACAAAGTGAGCAGTTATCTTTCCTCAAGAAAGTATGTTTAGGTCCTTTGCCTATTTTGGACATTGAGTAGAGTCAACTGGGTACAGATTCAAAAGTACATAGAATTTGCATTATATTATATGTAGTATGAATAATCTAGAAATGATTTCATGAATAAAGGAGGATGTGAATAGGTGATATGAATAGGTGATATGTAAATACTACCAAATGTTATAGAAGGAATTTTTGGTGTCTGCCTGGGATCCTGGAACCAAGCCCTTGAAAATACTGAGGGATTACTGGACCATGGGACAACCTTGAAAAGGCCCAAGACCTGCCAGTGAGTTTGCTTATCTTCCTTTGTACAAGTCTGCATCGGATACGAGATGCCACAGTTATGAATGGACATGGGCTATAAAAGTATGATAGTGCAGAGGAAACTGACAAGAAGTCAAGGGCTATCTGTTCACAGTTTTATATATGAAGTGCATGAACTACCACAACAGCAATAGGAATAACAATACACTGTATGGAGAAGGCTTTACTGTCGTGTATCTGTCAGTGTCTTGGCAGGAAAGAGAACTTCACTTAGATGATTCTATTGAAGAGATTTTAGTGAGGACCATTGGCATAGGTATGACACATGAAGGGAATCCAGGAATTTGGGTACCAAGGAATTTATGGTGCTAGATGGCAAATTTTGGTCACACATTCTTTCCATCTTGGTATCCAAGGCCCTTTGCAATGTGATTATGAAGATTTTTCCATTAAGACATGAAATAGATTTTCCCAGTCCTTAAATGTCACCTGGTCTTGTGACTTGCTTTGTCAATTTGACAATAGAATGTGCTAGAAGTAGTGTTAGGAAGTTTCAAAGGAAGGTTTCTAGAAACTTTGCAACTGCTGCCTCACCCTTGTAGGTACCCTGTGACTTCCATTAGAAGAGGCACAGGCTAGGCTAATGTACGATAAAGGACCCAATGAAGGGGGACTGGGAGATCTAACCCTCAGTGAGCCCAGTGACCAGTACATCCCCTACCTAACCAAGCCTCTGGATGGCTGAAGCCATAGTGATTCTGCATGACCAGTGGGGCTGCCCAGATGATCCCAGGTCCAGCTTAGAATCATATGAAAATACATGAGTGAGTGTCTGGGATGCCTTGTTACACAGCAGTAGGTAACTGATACAACTCACGTGCAATGATAGATGGTTCCTCAGGAATTTCAGAACAAGGGAACAAAATAGTCCACTCTCTCTCTCCTCTTTCTTTTCTCCTCTTTGCTTCTTATTCATTTTCAGAGCCTCCTAAGGGGTAATACCAATCAATTCAGAGGCAAGGAGGACTGGGCCATTTGGTCTAGTGGGGTAAACTTCAGGGTTGAAAATGGATCTATGGGTGGGTAGAGGGGACAAATAAAAAAATAACTGAGCAGCTAGCTGGCACTTTTAAAGACAATTATCTATGCTTATACATATGGGGTTCGAGGAAACTGCTGTCCCTGTAGGCAACTGTCGCAGTGCTTTCGAAGATTTTGTTTTTGCTCCCTTATCTATTTTGTTTCATATACAGTGCTCAAGAGAGAAACTTATAAGGAACCAGCAAAATTCACAGACTCATTCTGATCCACCCCATTGAGGTGACCCAGAGTAAAGTGTACTCAATAGGATACTACATTTTCCACCCAGGGGTGTTCTTATTTGCCTTTTTTGAACATGTGATACATGAAAAAGTATCATGAAATACAGACCATGCTCAGGAATGCAACTGCCTCCAGGTACGATGACAACCTTATGAGTATAAATGTGGAGTTTCTCCAATAAAAGACCCCTCTTTTCTTTTCTGGGGAAGACACCGCTTTGGAAATTATATTTATTTTTCTCCTTACTGGCTGCAGGAATTAAACCTTTCTTCACTCCTTTTTGTACCTTGGTTGTGCTTATCCCTTGCACTCACAAAGGAGCAAAACCATCACATTGGTTATACAACCATTGTGCTAGGACGACTGTTTGTTCCTTACACTTACTCTAGATGAGGCTCTGCCGGGGTGGTTGCATGAAAGGCTGCATCTTCAGAAAGCCCAGATGCACGAATGCTCACCCTTCCAAACATCATCCACCTTTCTATAGAATGGTAGGAAAGGAGGCCCGAGGCTGCCCCTTTGTTGCTATTCTGACAGCTCTAAGTGAGTCCACAGCTTACTCACCTCCTCAATGTCCAGCTTCCAGCATGAAGTGGGAAAAGAGAGGACATAGTGTGAGCAGTTCAGACCCAGGCCCTCAGCTCTCTTTCTTGCCTCCCAGACCACCCATGTTTCCTACAGGGAAGCTTTTCAATCATGTTCCGGTTGGAAGGTGGACATGGAAGCTGGAAATGGTGCCCCTTCTGCTTCTCCCCACAGTTCTGCACCCAAGCTACGCACAATCCTTCCTGGCAGCCACCGGTGGGAATGAAGGGAACTTGGCAGGCTGTGACACTGAAGCTCCACCCTCAGGCTCAGAAGGAAGGGGGGGGGCTTGTTTTTTCATACCTATCCTTGCAGCAGGAAAAATGAACCCATATTTTAAAAATTGTCCTTTCTTTTGTGGCCAGAATTTCCACTATGATTTAGTGATCGTTTCAATTGCATTCAGGAAAAGGGTAAGAGAGGTTTTTCTTGCTCTTTTACCCTGAAATGATATAAGCAGATTATAGAGCAGTCCAACCTTAGAGAACAGCAGGGCACAGCTCCTGGGAGGGGGGGTTTATCTAGACAAATGTTAGGCAGAAGAAAAAGCCAAAGAAAGATGGAAGTAGATTGGCTGATCCAGGAGCAGCAAAGTTTATTTTTTAAAACCTGGTTGATGAAGGAAGACAAAGTAATTTTTTAGCTTCTTACCAAAGAGCCCCAAGGGAAGGCAGCTGAAATTGAGGGGATAATAGAAAGGGGGGGTGGGCTGTGTGAAGGTGATGGTGTGGGAAACACTTGCTGTTGACGAGCGCATGTAGGGGTGGAATGTGACTCCCTGGAGATCAGGACCCCCTTTCTGCCCAGTGCTGACCCCTGTTCTGGAAAAGAAACAGAAAGAATGCAAAAAGGAGCAATAGTAGGAATACAAAACGAGCTCTTGAGAGACAGTTCTAATAGGTCAGGTTCATCTGGGGCCTTATGATGCTGAGGCTCCTGTTTCAGGTGCTGACTTCCTAATGAGATCCAGCCTGGAGAGGCTGAGCTGGCAGTGTTATCTGTCACACAGTGATAAACAAGACCGTGGCTGTTCCCTGTCCTTTTCTGCCTCAGATCTAGTCTCATCCATCCTCGGAAGTCAGCACCCCATTTTCCCACCCATGGTTGAAGGATAATGATGCTGACTGGCATTGTGCTACAGACCTCAGGACACAAGGGACAAGTCTTCTTTCCTGACACAGATAGAAAAAAGGTGGATGGGTGTGAGGGCTTTCTAACAAATGTGCAACTTTCCTCTACTTGAAAAAAAATGGGAGAGATGGGGAAAAAGGAGTGGGGAAGCCTCTGAGGCCCTGAAGCAGGCTCAGAGCAGCATTCAATCAGACACTGACATTTGCCTGGCGACCTCTTATCTGTCCCGGCTGCTCAGTCATCGGCTCTTTGTGCTGCAGAATTGGGAAGTGTTGGTGTGCCCTGCCCCGCTGATCCTGGGCCAGCTCTCTGTTCAAGTGCTCACCATTAACATTTCCCTGACATGTGACTGATATCTTCATCTCACTTTGGTAAATAGTCCACCTCTGGGCCAAGGTGACCGTGACCTCTGGTGCTGTGGAGCTGCACAGCATTCTCTCCAGGGACCCTGGCAAAGAGCTTTCACAAGGGTGAGGGCTGCTATTTCCTATCCCCACCACACTGATTAGTGCTGACAAGAAATAAATAAATAACCATGTGACAGAGGAGACAGCAGGCAAGCTGGACAAAGAAAGAGAAGTGAAGAAGGGCACCAGGGAGGATGCGGAGAGGCAGGGGGAAGGCCTGACTTAGAAGTACTCTCTGTAACTAAGAACAATGCAGCTGCCCAGGAAGCTACCAGAGGCAGCCCGGGCTATTAATAGGTCTGCACACATGGGCCCAAGCTGCAGCGTTTCTGAGGCTCAGAAAGGATCTCTAGCGTGAGGTTGCTTGGAGGGTCTGATTTTGCTAGCACAATTAAGTGTAGATTTCTTTGGGATGAGGGTTGAGAAGGGGGTGGGTGGATTGTAAATCTGTGCCACAATGCACCTTAATCCTAACATTCCTGTGGTGTCTACACACTCAGCAAACATGTGCTAAGTTCAAGGTACACGCAGATGAAACACACTACCCTCATGAAAGCCCGTGGCCCGGTGGGATTACCACTGCTATTCCTGTTGGGGCCAGGCAGACAATATAAATAAAAGGAAAAAGGGTGAAGTGTGGTGAGGATAGTGAGAATCATGTATGTATGTCCACTATCCCGGGATTGGGAAGCTACCTAGTCTCAGGTGACCATCTCTGTGCCAAAATATCTGCCCGGCACTGCTGTACTTTATGATTTTTTAAAGAGGAAAACATACTTGGAATTTTGTGTGTATCTTCTTCTGTTTTTTCTTTTAACACTGGGTAGGCCAAACAAACCATGTCTGTAGCCTGCTGAGACCAAGGAGGGGTCTGATAATAAGTTAGCATAGGAGCTGAAAAAGAAGAGATTCCAGGAGCTTATTGGAGCCTGGGGCAGGAAGGCATTCATCTCAGCGTAGTGGGGAGATGTGCTATGGTTGCCTACATCCTGGCATGGGAAGTCTTCAATGACACTGCGAAGCACAGAGAGAAGATTGGGAGAGCTATTCACTCAGACTGCCTGGTAATTTAGCTAGAGATATTGCACCCACCTCCTCAGCTGAAGTCTCTGCTTCTCCGCCTTCTTTGTAACCAGAGGTGGCCGTCTGAAAGTGGAGCCTGTTCTCACGTCCTCAGAGAGAGGAGGCCACCCATTCCTCTCTTCTCTTTTCCTCTCTTTTTGCTGACAGCATGGAGTCAGGAGCATAAATTGCACAGCTGGTGATTAACGCTCTTTGGCTCTGGTTTCTGTGAAATGGAGATAATATGATCCAACCCATGAAAGATTCTGAGAATTAAAGGATCTGTGTCTTTAGAGGATTTTAAACAATGGCAGGCATGTGCCAGGGCTGCAAGGCCTTCTGTTATCAATATTGTTCTGCAAACATAGCATTTACTATGCGAGGTTCCCAGGTGGAAGAAGAACAAGACAGCAAGAGCCTGGGTCCTGGTTCTGGACTGGCACCTGCACTCATAGACGAGGAGTCAGCTTTTCTTGTCTGAGGCACGGTGCTCTGCATCTAGGACACAGCAGCTGGGCTCGACTCCTGCAAGTACATATGAGTACCCAGGGATCAGCTGGGGATTTCCTGGCCTGCAAGCAGGGAGTGAAATGGCCTCAAATTGCCCCAAACGGTGGAGTGACGCTAATACACAGGCATGGATGCTCTGTCTTGTGAGCCCAGATGTTCCTTCTGTCAACCTGGCCTGTGCACAGCACTGTGGTTGAGGTAATGGGTTGGTTTCCAGTAACTTCTCATCAACAGTCACAGCCAGTGGCCCATGTGACACAGGCGAGCTGAGCTGGCTGCCTTGGAAAGGGGCTTACAGGATGCCCAGATGGCAGGGCACGGCTGTCACACGGAGATGGCTCCTTTGCGAGATCCTTGCATCTCCTTCCCTACTCTTGGAGCCCATTTTGTTCCAGTTGCCTGATGGTCACAAAACTCCCCCCAGCAGGCCTCTACTCACAGAATGTGTGAGTGGCAAGCGCCCCGGCTACTGCGGAGCAGAGTTCTCCCTCCCGTGGGCTGCCCTCGCCTCACATACAACACTGCTCCATCAGTAGAGTTTGGTGTGAGGATGACCTGGCTGAACCCAAGCAGCCAAAGAGGCAGCCAGGAGCGCTTGGCTCATCCTCCTTCCTCTCTCCCTTAAGCAGTGCTTTCCACACAGCGGGACTGCTCTCCCAGCCCTCACTGCCCCCAGCTTCTCGTCCATCTTGCCTCGATAACACTGCCCAAGTTCCTTGGAAGAAGAGATAGATTTCTTCTTTTACACTTCTGGGACTTATCCAGCTCCAGCACTGTTTGGAAATGTAAGTGAACAATACCTTGCCAAAAGTGGCACCTCAGGCACCAAGCAAACATATTTTGGTCATGGTGGATCCCTCCCAGCTGCCTTCAGGTATAAGGGTTTGGCTGTGTTCTTACATACCCAGGAGAAGAGGATGTGATATCTGGGAGTTGGGAAAGCCCTAGAGCTTTGACTAGTCTGTTTCATTCTCTAGGAGGATATGGGAGGTATCTTTTATACTAGATGGGCTATTTTGGATAGTAAGTAACAGAAACTCCAACTCAAATTAGCTTAAATAAGAAGGAAGATCTATTTTCCAAAGGAGAGTGTCCCCAGGGCTGGTTAACTCCGTGGTTCCCACGTTACCAGGGATCCATGTTCCTTCTATTGTCACTCTGCTTGGGAGTCCTGGGCCTGTCAACCTACCACAGGCTGCCCTCCTCATGGTGTCAAGACGGCTGCCACAGCCAATCATCACATTCAGATGCAACTATGTCCAGAGAGGACAGAAAGGTGGGCTGGGGGGTGTGGGGTGGGCTTGAGGGAGAGAATACATACCAGGATAATGAACAGTAGGGTGAGTAAGTCCTACCTGAGGTAGAGACACTGCCTTGGGTAATGCTGAGCAGAAATCTGAGAGAGCTGAGGAAGGGAGGAGAAAATATCTGAGGAACAGTCCAGGCAAAGGAAGTAACCACAAGGGCTATGAGGTGCAATGATCTTGGTAGCTTTTAGAAACCCTGAGGAGTGAGGGTTTGAGGGTTCACACTGACTGAGGGGAGAGCCTGGACAAGGAGGAGCAGAAGGTCAGGAGCAGCCAGGGTGAGTCTGCCTGACTACAGAGCAGGACACCATGTGCTGGTGGCTTAAGCAACAGACGTATACTTGTTTACAGTGCTGGAGGTTGTAAGATCCTCCAAGATAAAGGAGCTGTCAGGGGCTTCCAGTGAGGACTCACTTCTACTTCCTGTATTGCATAAGACTGGCTTCTTGCTGTGACCTCACTTGACATTGCCTCACAGCAAGAGTGAAGATAAAACATTTTGATATCTCTTCCTTTGTAAATATCCATTTGGTCAAAGTCACACCATCATGATCTCATTAACCTAACTGCCTCCTTCAAGGCTCTGTCTCCAAAGATCCATGGGTGGTTTGGGCTTCAGCATATGCACCAGTGGGAGGACACAATTCAGTGCATTGTACCAGTAGGGCATGGTAGGCCAATGAAAATACGGCATGACATTCTCTGTGGCGTGGAGAAGGCTAAGAGAGGGCTCCAAGCAGCACTGGAAATGGGTCTTAAAGGTTCCTGTCAGCATCTGGGGCTT